ATTTGGAGAAAATTCGAGCTCAGTTACCACCTTATATACGCATCGAATCCAAAGATAAAGAGGAATTCGTAGAATTTATGTCAGACAGTCATGTGGATTCAGTGCAAACACAGGATCATAAACAACAGTAATTTCCGGATTTCCTATGCTACACTCATCAAACCTCAAAGAACGGAGAAAATCAGAAAGGTGCTAATAAATTTGTCATCATATATCCACAAATTTATTCATTTTTGTACTTCAAGTTGCGTTCATATTATACTTCGTAAAATAATAAATTAAATAATATTAGGACCGTTGATAAACACGCTTATAAAAAAATCAGATCCATATGTTTTGTAACAAAAAAAGTCTCACAAAAATCTGCAGAAAAAGAAAACTAGCCATTCGAAGATATTGGTGATCGCAGCACTTTTTCCTGAAGATCATACGGAGTTGGAACTGGCTCATTTGGCAGTATAATATTAATTTCACCCTGAAATTGGTTGAGTTCACTTAAAATAGAATATATTTAGATTCTCTTTTAGAAAATGTAGATATAAACTGAAAAACTAAGATTCTATTATTTCAGTATTATTAATAAGGATGGATATACCTCCTCAAAGAAGCAAAATATTTCAACTGTTGCACCATTTCCATTGTTACGATTAGCAGAGAAAAATTTCTGGTCACTAACAAGTTGATTCACAAAATCTGATATGCGAGAAACCAAACGCATGATTTGAACAAACTGAAAATGATCAACCGCAACCCGAATTCTCTCCAGCGTTTGCAGTGCCACGCTTACCTGAAAAGCAAACCTACGAAAACCATTCCTATCCTTCCTTCATATAGTTTTTTTTTTTTTAATTTTGGACATCCAACATAAAAGTTCGGAAAAAGAATTTAAAATATTTAAGCCCAGAAATTTTTTAAAAACAATATTCATTTAAAAAAAACCAATAAAAATGAATTTCGAACACCTAACCTTCCTTGGTTTTACATCAAAAAGCGCACGTAAAGCAACATCAGCAAGCAAGAGCCTACTCCATCTTCCTTCTCCGAAATCTGTATTTATCTGAACCGATGATGTATTTATCCAAATTCGCTCAGCTAAAAACTGTTTTAAGTAATGAACCAAAAAATGAATCATGAAAAAAGAATTGCTACAGAACTTTCTCAGAATTATTTGTGGTTAAATCGCGCGAACAAATGATTATTTATGAATATATTCCCTGTTGATGGAAATATAATCACCTGGATAAATTACCTAAAAGCGATAATTTAAATAATAAGAACAAAAAAATGTATATTTTCCAGTTTTAAGCCAGAAAGTTGCAGTGTTTTTCGAAATCTCGAATTTTGGAAAGATAACAAAAAAAATGATACTACCTTGGTCAATTTCTCCAAACATATTTTGAGTCAACTGCAAGATGAATTCTTTCAATTGTTCTTTACCAACTAGCAGGTTAGCACAATCGATGAAATCAACCATATTCCATGGAACCGACTTGAAAAACGAATATGATTCATTGCCGGAAAATGCCTCGCAATTGGTAGCCAACAAAGTGTTTATGGTTATCACAATTCTACGTGCGAAACGCTTATCCGATATAAACGGCTCTCCAAACGGTATTATTATCTAGAATTTTGCCTGTTTGAAAAGTATGAATTACTTTAACGTTTTATTAAATAAATATAAGAAATAATTGAAAATAGAAAGACGGAAATAAAAATGACACACAAAGAAACAAGAATTTTAGAAGCCAATTTTTGGTTTGTTGTTATAGCAAAATATTCATTAGAAATCATCTTTCCTTAATTTTTAACTTTCACATATTGAAAATCAAGAAAAGACGACAAAAAACGTTGTTCCCGAAGAAACGACCTTTATTACATTGGATATTTTTATATGTACCTTGGGCATAAGCAGATCGAGGCGTAGATAGGTTTTGGTTATTTTTGTGACTTCAAGCATTGCATTCGAGATTTGCTGCAAATATAATTTTAATTGTTTGAATAAAATCGTACTTCAGCCATGTTTTGAAAATTAGTGGAAAATCTTCAAAATATTGGAGATGATTCCTAAATTTACCAAAGCATTTTTAATGTCATTGATTACGAATAAGATCCATCGAATCGTTCTTTGATCGAACACGAAAAAGAATGGACCAAGTAAAAGATGTGTGATGTTTGGAGGCACTGAAAATCAGTTAGTTGAAATTCTGAATAAAAATAATTAAATATCGAGACATAAAGCAGTTTACTAAAGGATCAAATTATTAAATCAATTAAAATCAGTAGAAACTACTACCTGGGAAATTTTCAAATATCGGATGGTAGAAAGCAGTAAATTCGAGATGGAAAAGAGGACTATTGCTTTCCGTAGCAGTATTTGATTTACGATCTGACATGAACAGATTGAAAAGTGCTTCTTTTGTAGAATTAGTATCTGTCACACACTGGACAATAATATCAGACATTCGTATTACGCAATTTTGAGACATTAAATTTGGCCACATATCAACTATTTGACATTGTGCATCGGCATCTGTAAAAGAAAATAACAATGTAAACAGCGTGTGAGAATAGAAATTTGGAACATGCGTGAGCCAAATGACTGTAATCAAAACAGAAATCAAGTAACGTGAACAACATTCCAACCCTCACTCCGAAATTTTGTATCGAAAGAAAAAGTTAAATAATTCAAACCTAATTCACTGCAAACGTTTCGCAAGTGGAAGTGCAATACTTTATGGATCCAAGTAGCACAATGATTTGTATTATCATATCGAATCCAGTCACTGCGATCAGATAGAGCGTTATTAGCTGGATAAAAATCAACGGACAATCGGATTAGAGTTACTTGCAGTGCACCACAAAGAATGTCCCAATCTCTAGGATAATCTGGAACTTGATTAAATTAGTTTATTAAATTAATCAAACAATCAAAACAAAAAATTATAAATGAGTGAATCTGAATTGAGAGATAGAAATTTAAAAATCATTAGAAACCGAACGGAAATATAAAAAAAAAACTAAAATTTAAAACTGCGTCAAAACTTTGTACCATTTGCACTCTAGAAGTTACTAAACAAGCAGCCTTAAAAAAAGAGTTTCCCTTTGATGAAAACATCTTTGTCTTAAAAAAAATAAGGTAAAATAAAAAAATACTCTCTGAAGTCCGATCATCATCACAGAGATGAAGATCAATTTTGCTAACATAAACATGATATGACGTTCGCTCAACATCGAAACTGCGAAATAAAGTTGAAACCGAAATTGAAGTACGCGGTTTCATGATCATTGGCATTTTTGTTTCGGCACGCTTTAAAGATAAATGATTAATATGCAACGCTGAAGAAATTACAACTGAATGTGCAAATTGACTAAAGTATGAATTTTGGTTTTGATAATGATGCAAAAAACAGCAGGAAACTACAAAAATTTAAGCTGTTTCAGTAGAATATCCAACCTGCGTGTGGTATATTTTCGGCAGTTTCTTGGGAGCTGTTTTAATAATATTCATGATGTGATCATAAAATTTGATGGTAGACCGTACTTGTGGCAAAGTAGCAATCCATAAAATATGGTCTAATATTACCTGTATACGACCACCAAGAACGCTACCATCTAAAACCGATTCCTTTTTCAATTTCTCCACTTAGTTCAATAATGCATCTTACTAGTAAAACAACCAAGGATACGACATAGGTAATAAAACTATATATTTTTCTAAATGATACCTTGTGGTTCTAACTTTAATAAACTCATACCAGTAGTGGACTTTTTCACACTGATTCTAGTCTTTCCATTGCTGGTGATTAATCTTAACGGCGCATTTGTTGCATTTTGTAATGAATCAGCTTTCGCGGACACTTCGATACGTAATAATTGCCATGTAACCTGCGAAATAACCGCTTATAAAATTAATAAAACATGGAATATTAAATATGTTTGAGGTCAATATGGGTTGACTTGTTCGTGTCATGAACTCCAATGGTGCTTCTATATATTTTTTTATTTATTTGCATATTTTTAAAGGGATGATTTTTGGGAGGTATCGTTTAGTAGGTGTATGGTTGACCGGAGTTGTTATTTATTTTTTGTTAATGGGTATTGCTTTTATTGGCTATGCATTGATTTGAGAACAACGGGTAGAATGAAAAATACTGAAACCAAGGGTAAATTAAGCAAAACTTTCTGCTTTTCATAAATCATGAAGTGGAAGGTCACCAAACAATATTACGAAATATCTCGGAAAACAGACCATTTTAAACATAAGCAATTTGTCAGTGTTCGTATCTACAATTCGAGTATATCGCAAATCATTGACTGTCTGCCAGCCAGGACTTTTGCTTTCAACCGCCAATCTCGAGAGCTAAAAAGGAAATTTTATGATATCTTCCAGACTTCTAATGAAATTCTGATAATGAAACCGTAATTTGACATACAAATAAGATGCTCAATAACTCACCGTCAGCGAACCTCGAAAAACACCAGAATCAAAATTAATCTCCACGGAATTAACGTAAAGTGACATCCCTTCTGCAACTCGATTAGCAAATCCATATGTTGAATCTCCGAAGGCACTAAAACTATGTCTCGTAATTTCTAATGAAAAGCGAACATTTTATTTAAAAATTGTATATAGATAAATCTTGGCGGTAAATATACCTCAAAGGATTTGAGCCATAGCCAACAACTACTTCTGAACTAAGTTCGACTTGTACCTGCACTTCATCAATGAACTAAAAAGAGATTACAGTAGAATAAAAGACAAAACACCGAAAATAAAACTTTCCGAAATGGAGAGATTTAGTCTCAGTTGTTTGAAAAAAATGCAAAATTAGCAGAATTTGAGAAAAAAAAATTTCGATCGAATGACTGAATTTAACACTCAATGTTTAAAAAAATTGAACTTGACGACTGCTATTATATTAGAAAAATCATAAGACGACCGAAATTTTTTTTTCTCCAATTCTGCTAATTTTGCATTTCAAATGCAGAACGAAAAAGTTACTAGTTTAACTGGTTGTGATTTTAACTTCGTCCAGGGAACACTGACAGCTATTCTGTTGCAAACTGCTCGCTTAATTTGTAACCATGTTGGTAATTCAAGTACCTGCAAAAAGATAAGTGTATACATTGTTTTGTTCAGATGCTTATTTTATACTGTGGACGGATCGCCAAGAAAACATAAATTTTAAGTGTAAAATAATAGCAGAACAAAGAAGCTAAAGATGGATGCTTACATCTGACAAGTGATATAACGGATATTCCTGCTGGATAACTATCTTACTGTCATATAATTTTCAACTTCAAAGATCAAAAGAGCGGATTACACCTGGTAATCTGCCAATTAAATGCTTAGAATTATTTAACAAACAAACATCAGAAACAAAAAGCTAGTTATTTTTATATTTTTGATCTAATCCAGAGCAATAAAAATATCTCAGAAAAAAAAGAATAAATACGGGGATACCCCAAAGAAAAAACCGACTTCACTTAACACAATTTCGTTTAACTCGATGTTCTTTAATTCTCCTTTACCACTCAGAATCTGCACACTGATCTGATCAGCCGTAATATTCCGAACAAATCTGAAATTTGGTTGAAAGCGTTCCGTGCAAAATATTTCTTCCAAAAGAATATTTTAGAGTAATCTTACGAATTCAAAAGTTTTCAAAAGAGTAGGAAAGTTTACAAAATAACACATTCAGTAATTACTTTGAAAGATGTTTGATAATTTGATTTTTGATAATACTTGCCATTGTTAATTAACAGATCTTTTTCGCACGTATTCCCCAATATTCGCAATTATTACCTGAAAAAATAAAGCTTTTAGCATATCAGAGTTTATGTTTCCAGCCCAAGGAAAGCATCTACATCATCAATTAATTCCATAAATCCTTACGTTCCATAAACCATTCAAAATGTCTCTTAGTTTGGGTCTGTAGATGTTAAGAATAATAAAATATACCTTTATTTTCATTCAAGAAACAAAAAACAAATTAGTTCCTGATCACATCTCAAAAATATGACTAATACTTGTGTAGTGTTGGAACCTGGGAAAATCATTTTGGCCTTTACATAACAGAGCGACATGGTTTGGAGAACTAATTTCTTTGCTTCGATTCATCCTTATAGATGCTATTTTCTTTATTTTAGTAGAGAAAAAAAATACTCTTATAGATATCAAGAAACTCCCAATCGCCCTACTAACACTCTCCAAATGACAACTTCATTAGATTTCCAATTCAAAAAATTCAAAAAGAAAAAATAGCATCACTGACAGATGCATACACAAAATACAACCGAACCCCTGCTTAATCCTACCAATCAATTTTGAGAGATGTGAACAAACATTCGGTTATATCGATATCAATTAGTCAAATTTTTTGCCAAAATTAGATGACTCATTCCATTATGCAAATTTAATAATGTTTACAAATATCGTATAAGAAAAATAAGCGTCGCTTGAGATTTCAATATGAATGAGCCACCGTGAGGTAAAAGAAGAGGTGAACACAACACATTGAACGTAATATCCACCTTGAACATGAATTTCTGCTTTGGTGTCCTTAAAGACAAATAGTGCAATTAAACAGAAATGAAGTATAACTCGTACAATCCGTGAGTAATGAATACAACTCGAACTAAAAATGGTAAAGACAGTTCTCATCAAGATGTCACAGATAGATGGAAATTTATTCAGATAAGCTTTAAAATCTCGAACTTCATAGACTACTAAAAAATTACAATGATAAGAAGGAATGTGAATGAGCCACCATGAGATAGAAGAGATATCGCATTATTCACCAAGTATTGGCGTCACGTCCCTCAGCCCGTAATAGAAAATTCAAATGTTTTGTTGTGAATGGGAATATGTGCGGGAGGAGACAATGCAGGATTTGTCGTGGGAAAGCAAGGCATATTAGAATCCTTTCTTTGTTACTCATCTTCTCTTATAATTTATCACTGCTTATTGAATTATGCAGTGAAGATAGTATGTGAAGATGTATGTGACATCAAATTTCAAAGATGTAACAAAAACACAGTGAAAGTATCCTAAACAATTAGTATACTCAGGTAGAATGAGAAGGTAAATTGCTTGAAAATCTTTAGTGAAACAAGCAGTTTGCCTTTTTAACTGCTATCAAGGATAGGAAGGCGTTTTTTTCTTATGTTCAGATTAATGTTTTAGTAATTAATGGACTGTACTGTTTTGGAGAAATTAGTCTTTCACTGATTTGCTAAGTTTCACCTCTTGGAATTGATTGAAACGTACTTTAGCTTCTTTCTTCAGTCCGTATTCTTCACAGTTTTCTCGAAATAATTCTCGAAATTTGATGGAACTTCTCGAAAGATTGAACTTCCTTAATTAATACCGAAGAATGCGACCGGCTGAAGGAGAAACAAATGGAATCAATAAACCTTCCTTACCTTTTTCCCTATTTAATAGTTGTATTGATTAAAACGGAGCCAAAACTGTTTACAAAGAGCTGCAATGTTTAAGTTAAAATCATTTTTAATTGCGGCAGTACAGCTGGCCGGTTGCTCCTCACATACGTCAATCCAAGGGTGATTACTTTTCCCGGTGAAAAATGCTATACTGCTAGAATCTTTTGTTGCGTAATTTGAAAATATCAATTCTATTCTTTAAAAAAATAGAAAAAAACGCTAGATTTATAAACGAACGTAATGGCACATAGTTTTTACCGAAATAAGCGATTGTTTAGCAAAATATCCGCGATTCCAAGAGATTTTCTTAATAGTCTACGTAGTCATGCAATAATGTTTATGCAATTTTGTAATTGAAATATATTTAAACTTGTATTGTAGTGTAACTTTTTCAACAGTTAATTGTTCCAAAAAGTAATAGTGGCGAATAATTGGCAATGCTCGGAACCAAAGTTAATCAACAAAAATGCATTTATGCATCCCATTATTCATTACAGGTTGCAATATATTCAACACTTCTGACTTTTCATATTTTCTTTCTGTCTAAAAACAACAAACAACTGATTGCTTACCTTTACTGTTTCTCATGTGCTATTATCAGAAGTGTACATCAATTCAATGCACATCAATTCAATATCCTTATACCATTATAACAGCCTATTTCATTTTACGCCAACATCACCGCAAACTGAGATATAAAATACAGACTCTCTATTATATCAATGATTAATCACCTAAATGACAATCAATGTTTGATATTATCAGATATTTCAAAAAAGATAAAATAATTTTTTTAAAGTGATTGCTGGATAAATGTTGAATGAAAAAACCATTCAACATTTATTTTTTTTATTATTCATAATTCAATCTATTTAGATTCAACAACCGTCTGCCGAGAATGGAATGAATAAAAATTTCGATGTGCAATATATTTCTGAAGTGTAAGTTGCGAAACTGTTGATATTCAGAATCAAAAAGTTGATGTCCATAAATGAGGAATGAGAAAATGATCTTTCTACATGGCAATAGAAAAATATTGATTTTCTAAAAATGGTTAAATTGCAGAGAAGAACGGTTAGGTGTGGTTGTGAGATTGTATGCAATGGTGGAATGTCCCGTGGGGAAAATTAAAGCAGAAATGTTAATCGAGCAAATTCGGGCTGAAATTTTGCCATTTGATCGGACATTCGGATATCATCCTATCAACGATATTGGAAATAATGCTCAGGTTCATCATTTGCTAAAAATCGTTTTTATTTATTGAAATTTCATTAAATCCTTGCTAATTTGTAATGACAACATTCGATAGGCTGCATCTCCCTTATCACTGAACATAAAAGAAAAGAATTTAATTGACTATATTTATATTTCATGTTTTCAAATAGTTACAAACAACAGATATCAATTTCTTTTTTTTTTTTTTTGGGATCCACATTTTTTAATTGAAATGAATCGTAATATCTTCTGTTATCAGTGTGTACGATCATAATGCAGTGAGTAACACATACTTATCGTATGTGTTTATCATTTTTTAATCTCTATTTCAAATGTTATCTGTAGCATCATTAACAGGTTTACTTAATTTTTTCCTGAATTATGAATTCGAGAGAAAAGCAATTCTTACATGAATAATTCAGTTGGCCAGTCATCTCGGTACGGTATTAAGCACAATTGGACGACAATGCTCTCAAATATGCAGAGGACGCAGGCAGGAAATGCCAAATATTGGTATTGTTGTAATACGCGACAACATTGTTCACTGCTGCATTTTGGGCGATATGGTGTAAGAAATTACATGTGGTATACGGTAGGAGTATTGATGAGGGGTTGTTGAGTTAGATGGTTACTGTACAAAAATTTTGATAGCCCTAATATAGGAGATATTGGATATTTGTTTGCAATATATCAAACAAACAATAAGAAAGAGAATTTCTTTAGCAAATTGATAACTGATACTATTAATAATGATGTTGGGCATTTTCCATTTTTAAATTTTTTAAAATCGTTTTTACTTTGTAATGTCCATATAAAAAATCATTTGTCAGGTATGCGAGAAACCATACGATATAAAATTATTTTAGCTTTTCTTTGCTACGAAAAAAAAATTAAATTATTTTAGCTTTTCTTTGCTACGAAAAAATCCTGATTCGTATGCCAGCAGAGTTGGATCTCAACAGTACACACTTCTCAGCAATTACAATGCACCATCGACAATGGTATTTGTATATTTCTGCTATTTTAATTTTGCTCAAAATGAAGAGTGGGAGTGAAAAGTTTAACATCTTTTGTCAATGAAATTAATCTAATTAGTGCCTATCTTAATGACTTATGATATATCTTAATGATATAAAACATATCTTAATGACTTAAAAATATTGTCAGTTAGAAAGCAAATCATAAAAGTCTGAAAGATTTTGCTATGTTATATTACAGAAAGAAAGCAATTCCGTAACAATAAACAATCCTATCGTTAAACTTCACATGCATGAGGTAAAGTTTATTCGTTAACTTTATCATGTCTTTTTCCTTTGCTTATTTTTAGAACATAAAAAGATGAAATTGAAATAATGGCAACTTTCCTTATTCTTTGTTATTAATATTGCAAGATGGAAAGTATAGCGGAAATAAAAGAAATCAAATCTTCAGTTTTGCTCAATATCAAAAATTTGTAGATGCAACCATCAGACTTACGATTTTTTGTATTTACCAAGGAATCAATTCGATTACTGTTAAAAGTAGTTCCATCGCTAGATTTATTCTCAAAAAGCCATGGTTAGTGGAAAAGATTTGATGTTTTGAATTTGAAAGAATTAAAAGCGGCTTTTGTTGGCATTAGTAGATCTAATTTAATTATAATAGCGTTAGTTGCGAAGTTTGTGCTCTGTTTGTTATTAAAGTAAATATTTTCAAATTTAATATTCCTTAGTATTTTAACTTACGAACTTTGTAGACGAAATAACGTGGTTGCTGCATTTGTGGCAGATGGAGATGTACACAAAGAACCCATATGAAGTGCCTGGAGCTGGATTCATACTCGTTGATAAATTATCAAAACTGATTGACGATAACAATTTTTCCTTGGGACCGAATTTTGCTGAAAAATTTTTGAAGGTGGGAGAGTTGCAAGCATATAAGATAAAAAAGCAACGAAGGCAAAAGATGATGGAAAAGAAATTGGAACAATTGAACATATTCAAAAGATCAAAAATTTTAATAAGTCAGTATAGCGCCTATTTGGAAACGCAGTTAAAACAGATTCAAGAAACGGACATCAGAATAAGGAAACTTATCAATGAATTAATTGATGACGAACGGGATGAAATGTTTGGTTATATGAAGCGCGAAGAAGAGATTTCCAATTTAGAAAGAGAATGTGGGCAACATCAAAGGTCGTTGAAAGAAAAATTATCCGCCTTAAGACGATGTCAAAAAAAACAATTGGATGAATTGCGATTCTTCTTGCTTATGCCCCTAAAATATAAAGATGTTGTAAAATGTGAAATGCTTATAAATATCGAAAAACTTCAACAGAGATCACAAATTGTGTCGTCCGGAAGACGCGTAATTTTTTTGGAGCAGGCATATTATGACTGTTACCGATTAAGCCGTATTACAATGTACCAGAGCAAAATTGAGCAAGATTTGGAAAGCATGAAGAAACAAATGGAAGAAACAATTAGGGATGCTTGTAAAACGCAGTGGAAATTAAGTGCTATTAAGTCACAGGTAATATTCATTAGTATTTTCACTTATACTATTTCTAGCATTCTCGTCTGTCAACCATTCTTTCCATAATTTAAATTTCTATCACTTTGAGTTTTTGGAAAGTTACACTTTTAACATGTAAAATAAGTCGCCTAATATTCTAAATCGAGAATGGAAGATTTTTACAGATTGAACAGAACAAACGATGGGCTAGAACAGCACAGGAGACTAGACCAGCATGGAGGGTTGGATCAGCACGGGGGAAATCAGAATGGAGAAATGGATCAGTGCGGGGGAGATCAGAATGGCGGACTGGATCAATGCAGGAAAGATCAGCTTGGAGAATTGGATCAGCACGAGGGATTGGCTCAGCGAGGGGGTTTGGCTTTGCGAAGGGGGTTGGCTTAGCACGGGGGATTGGTTCAGCACGGGGGATTGGCTCAGCTGGGAGGGTTGGCTCAGCAAGAGGGATTGGCTTAGCACGAGGATTTAGATCAGTATACCGTAGTAGACCAACATCGTTTCAAAACTATGGGAGAGGAGATGGCAGCGTGCAACAGAATTTTCATGCAGCAACAAATGGACGCTCATTCTATGGCCGTGGATTTCAAAAGCAGCGCTGGCGCCGTCATGCAAACAACATGGTGTTCTGAAGAAATTATTAATTCATTTGATTAAAATAAATGTCTGTTCTCGTCACAGGTTTCAAAATTTTTGCTCATCATTTGTGTTAAATAAATGATTTCTGATACCAGGAAGTTCTGTATTTCTGCTTTGGTTAATGTAATTTTTGTACAAGGCGTGTACGAAATTCAATGAAGATTCGAGAAAATTGTGGAAGATGTTAAAAGAATTCAGTATATGAGACGATACTGTACTACTATAAGTAACACATTATTTTGTGTAGATCATTATTCTAGTAATTCTACCTTAATCCGGCATAGTGGAATTATGTTTCATGGATTACTTGAAGCATAGCGTAGTTCATTTTACAAAACACGATTTCAAGATTCTGATAATGACAAGACTAACTTCATACCTTAGAACATAAAAAGAAAGCAGTTTAATAGTGAAATGAAATAACTTGTTTGATAAAATGTTTTAGACAACTGGTTGATTTTTCAAGGTGTGTATGTTTTCTGTTCAAATTTCCAGGTCAAAATCCGGGGGGATTCGTTTTGGAAATATACAAAGTGCCAGTTAAATAAAATTTTATAATATGTTGATTGTTATTTATACAAAAATTTTCCAGAGGCAAATATCCAGAATAGGATTATGCAAACCAATACTTTGATCTGGAAATTTGAACAGTGATTTCGCTCTTGATATTTTATATGTGCACTTGCATTATTCGATGCCATATGAGACAAAAAAATAGATTTCCGGTATTAGCTTTTATGTCACTATCTTCATAATATAAAAAATTATTGTAATTTCAATTCAGCTAAGCTTTTGTATAAATCGCTAGATCGTTACGATCAAATTTTTTTTTTCATTTGACCAGCTTATTATCCTAAACGTCCAATCATTGTTTACGTGCTCCTATCTTCTTTTACTTGCTTAGAGACTATTACTGCTTGAGCAATTTTTGTTAGTTGTATATTAAAATTTAAGCTTCATTCTATGAAAAAATTGATATAGCTAGGCTACTATTATATCGATAATATATATTTTGTATAGATCGTTTTGATAGCCTTACAAATGCAATATACGATGTAACATATCTAAAAGCTCTTTACATTACTGTCATATTAGCTTCCAATTAAGCGTATTGAAATTTTCTGGTGGATGGTATATTTTTGTTCACCAAGGAAAAAAAAGTGAGATTTGCAGCTATTAAATTTGTTTAATTTATCTCCTTAATTAAACTTACAATACAAAAAATTCATAACAGAACAATTTCAGGCTGAATGCTCTGTTAATTAAAAGGCGGTAGAAGACGATATATCCGAGTTTTAATATTATATTCCGTTTGATTTCTATTATATTTGAGAATGGTGAAACCAAAATTGTTATCATTATTAATATTTGCACAACTTGCAAATTGAAACATTCATTTTGTTCCTTATAGATAATTGTTGTCAACTGATAAGAATGTCTTCGACAGAATGGATCTTCAAAAAATGTGCATTTGCCAGCAGCTGTGTTTTGAAAGTAAGTATTGTTTACAAATTCTTAACAATGTGTGTATGTATATGTATGTAGCGCAAAAGTCATTATAACTTTGCATTTATTGAAATATGCAAGTATCTAAACAAGCCAAAATGCTGTAGTTTTTCCTAATTACTGAAGATTTAATAACTTGAATCGTCTGTGGGCAAACTGTTAGGCTAAATTACGTAGCTGCTAATTACCTAAATAGAAAAGAAAATTTCATTTTTCAGCTAAAATTACCAATATTGGAAAATATTTATGGTTTTTTCTTATCCTTAATAATTTATTTCATTGATTTCATGCTTCCGTGCTGCTGGCTAAATGTGAATCTCTTAATATTATCATTTTTATAATACTTTAAATGTTTTTTACGATACTTTAAAAGAATTTAAATATTCTATATTTTAGAATCCAATGCAGCGAACCGAAAAGCACAATAAATTTACACAAACATGGTACCTGCATGAAATGTGCATATTTTTTTCCATTTTTATATTTCAGTAATCGATAAACGGAATTTCCCTGATTTTTTGGCACCCCAAATTTTGTTTCCAAGTAAAATAAGATAAGAACTCCTTAAATTCTGAAATTTATTCAGGTCAAATTTTTTTATTTTAGTGATACCAGAAATGAAGTGACACTGAGAGTGTACGCAATGGCTGAAAGTTTTCAACAAAATTATTCTGCAGAAGCTATAATTGATGAAATTAGAAAAAAAATATTTTCACACAGAGATCCTTATAATTTATTTTCAAAGCAGAACACTACCATTTTTAATGATGTAAGTTATTCTTTTTTTTCGTTTCTGAAACTGCTTTAGAAACAAAATTTGCACATTGAAGTTGTTTGATCGTATTTGAATTAATCCTCATTTCTAATGTTCTCAAATTATATTTAATTCAACTTCGATTTTATAATTGAAGAAAAATTAAGTTTAAATTTATAAAGCTAAGTAAATTATAACATTTTCAACGGTCCCCGAATATACGTATTATCATTGGGAAGATAATCAATGTTTTACTGCGCTTAAATTTTTTGAAAAACAATATCCACGATATTACTGCAAATAATAAATCTTAGGTAGGAGAATTTTTCAGATAATGAGACTTCTGGGAACATTGTTACAAGTACTCATGAAAGAAGCAAAAGACAAACGGGCTGGGACAGAAAACGAAATGCCAAGTGTTGGCATTGTAATCATTCGCTCCAATTTACTTTGCTGTGGTTTTTTTGGGAAAATTGTGTAAGTTCAAATGTAATTTCAAAAGTGCGATGTAAAACAAGGTGAGAACGAATTGCGTCAACTATTTCAAACAACATCCCATATTCTTCAACGTTATTATAAATTAATTTTGTTTTCCAGATTTGCATTAATTACAGAACAATTATGCGCACTGCAACCCGATGAATCTAAACATTATGCGATCTTTTCTAACAAAATTGAAACTCCTGTATGTGAGTAGATCTTCATTTCTGTTTCAAGAAATTATTCATAAAATAAAACAGAAACTTTCTATTTGAAGCGTGAAAGATCCAGACAGACAAGATAATTACAAATTTTCGATTATACATGCATTCACAAAATATTATCATTGGTACAAGATAGTTTCGATTTTTTATCAACAGAAAATTGTATGATTTTTTTTTTGAAATCTACTGGGTATGAAGTTTGATAATTAAAAAAGGTTATTATCAGATAATGCCGAAGACTTCCAACGATATTGTCAATGAAACACAAAAAAAACATTCAAAGATTGATAATGACCGTATAAAAATTTTCACTCAAATGGTTGGTTCATGTTTTGGATTGAAAATATGTTTCGAAACTTTATATCTAGAATAAGAAATGTACACGTTAGCTTATGTTTGAGCTTAATTTATATGAAGCAAATTAGTTAGTATTATTTAAAGGATGATAAGTTAAAAATATTGTGATACACTGTGCAATAATTATAAAGTACATGGACCTAAATGTTTGCAATTGATCTACACTGATGCACAAGTGAACATATAAATGATCGGAAAAGTTTGAACAGTGTTTCATCACAAAGGATAAATCGCAATTTTGCCTGTCATCTTGAGTTGTCAAGCTTGTTTACACACAGAAACGTACATTTTTTTTTGTTGTTGCTTCCATAAAATGTATGTTTTATTAAGTTTTGAATTATATTTCAGCGGTTGTCAAGAAAACGTTTTTTTCTTTGCTTCCCCAAGTTGCATTGTTTCAGTGTTACCTTCAACCATTTTAACTCTATTCTTTATAGAACTTATTAATTTAACTTATAGCATTTTTCTAAATTTTAGATCAAATTTAATGATATTCGATTTTTTTTGTTTAATGTGGAAACAATCGAAGCGTTATTTGAATGTCAAGCGGATTTGTGCATAATATCACATAGTAGGTCACTTGAATGTTACCATTTTGAACTTGCAAAAAATTTCTCTCATTATTTAGGAAAAAATTGTTGAAATTATGTAAGTTCCAAAACCAAAGCTTATTTTAATTATCATTCTCAGATATAAGGAGAATTTTTTCGTAATCTTACGCTTTCTTTATAACCTTTGTACGCTTTCCTATAAAAGTGTCCACTATTAGTTTAATGCTTTTCTTAGTCAACAAGAGATATAGTCACTTTTTTGAACAGTTCATTTTTTAGGTGAGCTAACTTGGATATTACATCAGTGGCAGAAAAATATGTATTCGGCAAATCCATTTGATGTACCATCAGCTGGGTATTTGTTGATAGACAGGCTATCGCAAGTTATTGTGGATGACGGTAGCACATCGGTTAATCTTCTAAAAAGGCAACAGGATTATCCGTGGAATCATCTTCCGAAATTGGATCCGATCGGTCTCGGAAGTCATTTCTTAAGCTCTTCCTTTGAACGACGCTTAAGAGATTTCTATAAGTTGACCGAGAATATTCGCGAAGCTGATCTGGAACAAAGTAATGAAATGCATCTTTGCCTGGGACGGAAACAGTTATTGGAGGAAACGCAGAAACAATCAGAAATAGTGCCGAATGAAATTCTCTCAGAAATGGAAGAAATGTGGATGGATTATTATTCCAACTTAAAATTTGCCGGAAGGAGAATCAAGATGTTGATGACACGTGTTCAGTATGAGCTACGTCCAGCATTAGAGTTCCTAAATCACGGAAATATATATGACGTGACGTGTGGTTATTCTTTGTTTTCAATGGGTAATTATTTTCAGTTTCTTATTAGAGGATTGTGGATCTACGATCATATCATTTACGAAGAAATAGAAAATGAAACAGTCCGTTGCAATCAACTGATAACGCATTGGGCTGAGAAGGGAGTAGTTTTAGAAAGAGATCTGGAAGCATTACGATTTTGGAAATCAGATGGTTTGCTCTTCTCTCTTAACCGTAGTTTATTCATATTTTTCTTTTTTCTAACTATATTTAGAACTATTATGTCTTAAAATATTCCTGATTTTACTGGGAAAAATTCCACCTTACGTAAAGTTTAGACTTGGACTACGATGAAGATAATGATTGAAAAGATAATAATAACTTAAGAAGTCACGAAGTGAAAAGCAGTAATGGATTTGATATTGATTGGTTACGTTGGATAAACAATATAAGGATCTTATGGGTGATGCTGGTGTTGCTTGTAATCTATTTTTGGAAGTAAAGAATTATAAAGTTATTAAATTTTGACTGTTCCTCCCAGGTATTTCTCTTATTTGATCCCATATTGCTATCAGCGATACATTTCGTGACCCTTAAAGATGTGCAAAACATATAAATTTTTCCATTTTGAAATACTTCTTACAGCAAGTTTTACTCGAGCTATTAAAAGCTTAATCTTTTTACAGCTATTTCAAAAACAAAAAAAAGTTGTACACGTACTGATATTTGTTATTGTTTGTGGATTTAGATTTCTCTATTGAATACATCCAGGCGAATTCGTAAAGTCTTAACATTATATGAAAATATTCATATTCAATTGTTCCTTCCAAAAAACATTTCATGAATCCATTTAACTTCAATTTCTTTTTACAATTCATTGTTACAAAAATAATCTCTGCTTTTTGGTTTTAAATCACCAAATCCTTAAGTGGTGAAGTGCATCAGTTTTAAATTTATTAACTCGTTAGATACTTGAAATGTACATATATGTAAACTTGTGAGAATGGATAAAATTGCCATCAAATTGTGTGAATCATTTTATATCATAAGTCCTATTAAAAGCATCTAGCCAGGGTCTCTTGAACATTTTTTGCAATTTAAAATTTCCTAAAATTTAGGCTGGAAAGAAAAAACAGTTAAAAGAAAACAATTATAATAAATAGATGTGTGAATAAGACTAAGGTGAAAAACAAGACTTTGACTAGCAACTGCCTGTACAAAAATGGACCGGATGTATACAACTGAATTCTAATTGTATTCTCTTAATAGCAAAATCAGCACTACTGATCGATCAAGTGGTGAAGTATGTTACCGTTCGTCAAATGATTCATTTCACAGTATATATGTTAAATTCTGCAATCAAATTATTCCATTTAATTCTTAGTAATGACTGCAGCAATCAATATTTTACGCAATTTTATTCCATTACGTTAATAGCGCTGTTCCAAAACACGCATAGTGAAAAAACCATAAACGGGCTTGTGATCAGAAGCATTCTCTTCCCATAAACAATCATATTTCCCAGGTCTTATTCGACTTGATTCTTTCGCATAATACAAAATTCGATCCTAAAAATTGGTAGTTGATGTAAATGAAACAATGAAATAATAACTTCCTTGCATTTATTTAACGCGCTGAAGTTGCATGAATTCATACCGTATATGACGGAATCCGATCGTTTACATAATCGTTGGTGCCAACAATAAACTTATGCGTAGGTGGAAAATTAATATAAGCCTCTCTGAAACCTTCAAAAACATTTCCTGAAAATGAAACGAATTGTTTACAATCTTTAGAAAATTGAAACAATTAATCCTTACGGAAGGCGACAAATAGACAATTCTGAAACAGACCTTTACACTTTTCTAATGTTAACTCATCATCAATGAGTAATTGATCAAAGAAGGAATCCGCCATATTTTCCTGCTTTATGCTTTGTGAATCCAGTGCATCAACTCGTTCTCTACTTCGAAGTCGAAAATTCAAGTCACCTAGCCAGAAAACCTGTAATGATTTGAATTTCAATGATAATTCGGCGCGAACGTGCTTTCTCAAACATCGATGTATTCAATTAGGGAACAAATGACATCTTTTTTTCCCTTTTCGTCCCTAAAGCTATTAAAATTTTGCAAAATTTTAATTTATACTTTAGCAATAACATAAAATCGAAGGTTTATTATCAAAACTTACACAGTCAGCTTGTTTCACTCCTGAAGAAGGCAGTGTACCGCTCTTTTTCAATGATGGAAATTGCAGTGAATCACAGATTTTCGAATAGTCACATATACGATTCAATATTGGTCCATCTGAAACAATTCTGAATCCCCAAATTGTAATAAGGAAGGATTAAGCGCAACTGAACCAACCAACATGAGGATGCTAAAACTTTTGCATGGTTATATGTTCTAATTAAAGAAACAGTTCCAAATCTTCCGCCCTGCTTATTCAACATACTTAATCGTACTGCTAATCTTTGGACTGATCTAACAAATTGTCTACTTCAGTTTTAATTTGCTCATCAGTTATTAATAAAGTGTAATAAAACTAACATTTGTTGTAATAAACAAAATTTCATTTAATAAATGTAATAAACAAAACTAACGAGTCATATGACAAGTCATAAAAATGACTGATGTCTGGAAAATTCGAAAGAAAACGGCAATCGCCCCTTTCGTTCTAACCGGTTTGACAATTGGACTACACGAAATGAACTGCCATTCCGGAGCTGCAAAATGATTTCTGAACTTCAGTGATGAAATGCAATAAGTACTTGAAAACGTCCGATTCATATCTAACTAACCAACTTATACAAATGTGTGCAGTCAATTGAAACCTTTTAAAAATTTGAATTTAAATGCATTTTAGTATTTCAAGTCCTATCAAGTCCACAATCCAAAGGCCAAAGTGTTTAAAACAGTTTACTGACAAACAAAGTGGAACGACAAACTTGAGGTGTATGCAACCAGGGATTCTCGAATAAAAACAATCACCATTTGTGACCATTTTCGTACCCAACAAAATATCAGATGTGTGTCTACAACAGCTTTGGCCAGCGTCTTTACTGTTTCCTGATGATAATATCTACAAATTTGAAATTTTGCGTCACTTTTTTTTCACTTTACTTCAGTAAATTCAAAATCAAAGATAAAAGGAGCTAAAGAAGAAAAAACTGACGCATTTATTGATGGAAGCTCTTGAAAACATAAACAAATCAGATCAGCTCTAGCTGTAGGTTGTTCATTTGAAATCAATTTCTCGATTTTCGATAAATTATTTTGTGACTGAAAAAAATAATTATAATTTATTCTGAGCAGTATGAATTAATGGCCTCTGTTAACTTTCAGCGTCACTTGAAGCGAGAAAAAATTTTTCAAACTCGAAGTAATAATCGAGTTACAAAAAATATCACCGACAAAGAATCTAATAACCCTTGAGGCAACATTCCAAGTTAGACACATTACGGTAACTGTTCCATCCGGTATCAAATGTCGTAGCCGATCTACTTCCGGGATAGTAACTCCACCCGGACCGACTACCGTTATTCTGAAAAATTTGTTGAGTAGAGCGAAGCAGAGATAACAATAAGCTAGGACAAAAGCAAATTGTCTGACCGTTTTTAGCCAATAACTTTTTAATTTGATTTTGATTTGCTCATCCTTATTATCCGAAGAGATTAACTTCGGTCCTAGTAGAAGAATGCATGAGATGGAAGAGTGAAATTCATTCTCCATCCCACGTTAGATTATAGTGTCACAAATTAAAAAAAAATTCTCATTCAGTTTCAATATTCTAAACGAAATAGGATTATTTACAAATTATTTCAAAAAATTTGTGGAAGACGTGGAGATGAACCTGAGTTGTGCATGCTTGACGTCATATGTGAAATATTGATTTTCCGCAGCTTCATTTGCAAGCGTTATATTTTCTTCCTGGATGACATCAACAGTACTATCCGACTCTGAACTTCCCGGACTTGAGACTGCAATCATTCAAAAAGTTAAGCGAAAATTCTATGCATTATCAGTGTTTGCAATCCAGAAAGAAAACTTTTCAATATTACCGAAAACAAAATTTGGCACTGTACTTCGCTATAAAGTCATAAAGACAATGGATGTTGGAAAATTAAGAAAATTAAGCACATTTTGATTAACGATGGCACTTTTCAAAATTGAGAATTGCAGATACAACAGTGTTTGAGATTGACGAGACGATATATTTCAAAAAATTTTAGAAGTTTATAGAACATCGCATGAGAATGGTAAGAGATAAGAAGAAGGTTAAGTTGAAAGGTCAGAAAATGTTGAAATTATCAACGTTGTCGTTATTTTCAGCACTGTCTGTTACTCATCGCAAATACGGTCGCACAACAGCACTTTTCACAAGGCAGACATAAATCTTTTGAATAAAAATTCTGAATGCAATTTGAAAAAACATATCCATCCATGATTTCAATCACCCAATCGCTAAATTCTTTATAGATATGTTTGTGGAAGAAGTAAAATAATATTAAATGATTAATAACTCTGATAACGCTAAGAAATGCTCACCATTTTCGTCCGGAGAGCGTTTTATAGACGATGTGAATGCAAAGCGACGTATATGTGAAGTGAACGATTCGATTCGTTTCAAGGAAGGTTTCTCAATAATCACTTCCTCATCGTTGCTCTAGAAAATTTTCTTTTTTCTGGTGTTGGTTAAGTAGCTCAGTGTTATACCAATTGGAATTATGATTAAATTTTACTGTTCAATTTCAAATAGAAAAAGTAATTACAGTTCCAGCAGAAGACAACAGTGGCGGACTTGTTGACAAACTTGCAGTGACCCGAGTTGCCAATGATTTTACACGATTGGTCATCTAGAAAGTTGTGGGAAAATAGAGCTAAGTGTCACATTGAGTACAAAAAGAAATTTGTATTAGCTGATGCACAAAAAAAATCCGAACTTGCATTTTTCTGAAAATATCACCAATTAATGGCTGATTTCAAAAAGTTTTTGTTCTAGAAACAGGTAAACTATATATATAATGCTTTATAGATGATGTGATATTTCAGTAAGTTCTATCAAATGTTTGATAAAACATTCAGATAAGCAAATAGATTGGGCATAAAATATCCGATTCAGTGGCGTAAAAAGATGTTCATATAGAAAAGTTTACTTTACATGTACTGAACGCAGTAATAAATAAACCGTATAAAATTAACTTCTTTGGAAATAGAAATAGTGATGCCAAAAAAAAACTTTATGTTCATGACAAGACTGAATTCTAGATCCAAAATCTCTCTCTTGAAAAATTTAAATTCCTAGATTTGCATTTAGGATTGAAGAAAGGAAGAAAATTTTCAACAAATAACAAATGAAGATTGACGTAAATTCGGATATCAAAATGAAACGTGAATTACTGGAAGCGTCTAAGCCTTTTTCTAAATCATAATTTTTTTTAAAAGACAGGATAAAATGATAGATTATCAAAGGTCTTTAAATCTCACGAATAAACTCAAAAATAACATTATTTAATCTTTGAAACGTAGTTATAAGCTCTTTGAAACCGAGGACGTAGTCATAAGCTTTGGAAGTAGCAGAGGAATGAAATAGAAGTAAGCTATGATTAATTGAAGCCAAAACATTGTGTTCCAAACATAACAGAAATAATCAAATTTAAAACCGATAAAAAACAAATTGACTTCTTAAGTGTGCGATGATCTAACATGCATCTTATGTCAAAAGCATTCTAAATTATTTGAAAGAATTGGATAAATCCCAACATAAATGTAATTTTTCAACATTTTGTTCAGGACAGTGAATGTTATGAACTAATGGCACCAGTTCCAGAAACGCATTATCCTCATCAGTCTTCTCATTCTTCGGCTCAAACAAGTAAGCACGCTGAATGGCAAGAAATGTAGCTTTTGCAACTGGGCCTAGCGTTGTGTAACTGGATGCTGACGTATAGCAATCCTGAATGCCACCTAAATGCAGTAGTTTCTGCACTATAGGAGGTGCACTAATACCGGTACCGCGAGGAGCTGGATAAAGTGTTACTCGCACGTCACAATAACGAACCATTATCTAAATTTGTTTTCCTTCAATTAAAACTTTTTAAATTTTAATTTTTACTATATTTTGGTGTTTTGCTTCGAAATAAGTTTATTATAACGTGCAACAGTTGCTGTTATTGAAAAGTCAATAACATTGAGTATGCTGTTTAGTTTTTAAAAACAAAGGAAGAAAAACAGATCACCGAAAGTACCTTGCAGGGTATAGTATGAGGCAGGCCGTATTCCGTATGCCAATAAGCCCGCCGTACGGGTACTACCGCTGTTTTAGCACGATAAATCGCACGTCTAATTGCAGTGCTAACACGCTTTGCGCACTGCACTCCAAGACCCACGTGCCCATTCTTGTCACCAATGGCAACAAAAGCGCGGAATCGAGTGCGTAATCCACTTCGGACTTCCTTTTGTACCGGAAGAATCTTCAATACCCGCTCTTTTAGATTTGGCACCAATAGATCCACAATTTGATATTCCTGTAACTTTTTCTCTCGTTTAACTGAATTTGAATTGATGCAACTTTGAGCAGAATCCATCAATATATTCTTTAGAAAGAATAAATTTTTTTTGTTCAAGAATTTCTGTCGAAGATCATGTGTAATTGAGTGTACAAAGTTTTACAATACTACGGAAATTTGAAAACTGCAAAAAGTAATTTCAATTCAGAAAAGAACTGACATAATTTTCGTATTGATCAACATGCTATTATTAAATAACAATATAAGATGACTAACAAGGATGGGTATCGATCTGCAATAGATCTCCTCAATTGTACCTATTCGCCCATCCTTCACTAAACGACCAAGCTTTGTTACCGGAGTCCATGGCTTATCGCAGTCGAGCGTTATACGACGTAAACCACTACCTATTCTCCGCGGTCCACTAACTTGACTTCTCGTTGAACTGTAAAATTTCCTTTCAAAAATTTGAGGGGTGGAAATTCTATAAAGGGTAGAGAGCTTTATTTATGCCACTAACTTTGATTGTTAAAAAAGCTGAAAAATTAATTTTGAAGCATATTAAAAAAACGGTTGAAACATTGATTTTCTCTTTCAAATGAATCTCAGATACGCGTAAAAATTCATTCAAATGGTAAAAAGATGCCAGAATGCCAAAATTAACTTCTTACATTGTTAATTTGCAAGATGGCTTCCTCAAAATTTTAAAAAATGAGAAAATAATTTCAACGGAAAATATGGAAGAATTCAATTTCCACTCTTAATAGGTCAAATAAGGCAACTTGATCGCAAGGATAGGAATTTCTTTATTAAAGTTGCAATAATTGCAACTCAAATACCTGGACCATTTTTCAGTATAATCAAATGAAGTATGACTATCAAAACTACCGGTACTACTGCTACCGAAACCACCCTGAAATGCACCGCGACGATCCATTGCACAAAACCTGAACAAAAGTTGTAAAATGAAAGTTCCTTAACTAATTCAAAAAATTATTGCATATAATAATTCATTACTATAACAAATACAGGTTTTAATATGATTTTCAAGAAAAAAAAATATTTCAATTAGTCAGGAAGTTTATTTAGAGCCCAGTCATCATGTTGCAAGATTGTAGGCAAGTGAGAAATAGTCTTCATTCAGCTTGGCAATAGTAAAGGTATATAAATGGAGAACACGTGAAAATGCTGCTGGAAAAAAGAGCCTTATTAAAGCCATTAGAACCTACATAAGCCTACATTTAAACACGCACATACACACAGACACACACACACACAGACACACATACACAGAGACGCAATCCCAATATGCGCAGACAATCAATATAAAGTATTGAGACCTATTCATTTAGATAGCCTCTTAATTAAAATAATCTTTTCCAACTTTGCATTTCTTAAAAATATGAGATACAAACAAGATTATGCATTTATTATCAACACAACCCGCTTACAATCTCGTTAAACTCTCAAGAAATTCCATTAAGAGGAGTGAAAATTAATACGTGCAATCAAATCATATCTTTAAACTTACAGAAAAACTTGGATACCAAAAATACCAAAAAAAAAATGGATAAAAATCCATTCAAAAATCATCACTTCCCAAATTATTTATATTTTTAAGAAAGCAGTGATTTTGTAAATGACTAATTAGAATGGATAAAGCGTGAAATCTACGACGCAAAGTGGATGAATGTTGTTGGATGAGACGTGCAAACGTATATTATCACTATGGAAACATTGTATACATAATGGGAAGGAGTAGTAGACAAATTATCATTTCAAATTATATGAATTATTTTAGAGAGAAAGGTATAAATTAAGTTTCAAAATTTTGAAGCTTGAAAATCGTTATTTCACAATTCATAAGGGACAATTCGTTATGTTATGGAACTGACTGCACTGCTTAGTAGAGAAATGAAATGACAGAGGGTTACAATGTTTTGAAATATATTATACAAAAATTTGCGCTTTGGACTTAAATACTGTCAAACAAAAATCCTGGAGAAAACTTGTTCGTTGGACAAATGATAAGAGATAATTCACCTAATAATATAAGTCAATTTCATTATTCACTATAATGATAAAAGGGAAGATTTTGATTTATTCATTGTAAAATAATAACTGAAACTTGGCTTGTATTGATCAGTTTTGAAATCATTTGCAACTAAGCCAAAATAAGAGTATCTGCGGTTTAGTTTTCCCGAATGGTTAGTGGAATAGGTTCAAATAGGATAGTCTATGAGACTGCTAGTGTTCTCCTCATCAGACATTTCCGCTAAGGAAATCAAAAATTTTCAGTCTCCGGGACGAGAAAGGAATGAGAGAAAGAGAGAGGAAGAGAAAGAGAGAAAATGGTTGACTACTATGTAGGCTTGTTCAATAACAATATCTAAGGCACTAATGTATTAGATTCACGCCGTTCTAGGCAGCTTTCATATCACACAGCGGTAACACATCCTTAACTCCTCTATCCCCGCTCTTTCTCTCCCGACTCTCATTTGTTAACGAGAAGTTCCTTGTGGGACATGAAATTGCATGGAGTCCCTTCTTGACATCCCGCGAATGGAATAATTTTGGAGTTTAGCAAAGTTTAGCGAGGAAATAGCGATATTAGGGAGTGTCAGAGATTGCTATGATTAAAAATAATGTTGGCAAAAGTTGCAAATGAATAGAGAGTGTCATGTCAGGAGAGACTCAGTCTTAGAAAGTCATATATCTCTTGCCAGAACATGGAGGGGTTGTGGCACAAGTTGCATGATGTTGAATTTCGGAGTTTAATTTTTTAATCTGTTAAAGGTAGAAATGTTGATGCTTCTATGAATGGGTTGCGTATTTATTTGGTGCTAAGATGTTCTTAGTACTGAAGAGTTACCACTAAGTTTGGGATAAAATATTCAGTTTTTTAGCTAATAAGAGATGAAGGCATAAACCTTAGATGTTGAGTACTTTACTTAACAAGCAACTTTTTTTTCAAATGATTTGTCTTCAGAATAATTGCACATTTGGCTTTAAGTATGTGTATTTTGAATATTAAATTTCGATAGTGATCATATATGCAGTATTTGTTGGTTAACGGTTATGTAGCTGGACAAAAATCCACTACGTAAGCAAGTATAGTAGTGCTTCGTTTTGTTGTTGCAGTTACTGGAAGTTTTTAGAAAATGTATAATACTTGAACGGCTTCTTTTATGAAACAATCATCCAAACTTAGGATACTTTCAAATGGTTGAAATTAAATCGAGTAGTAAGTATGCTATCATCGAATGAAATGTAAATCATCTTTCTTCATAATATATAGTAACCAGTGTTTTAAAGGTGAGAGCAACTGTGATGAATACTGAGGAACAAAGGAAGCAGTAGACGGTTTTTACAATGACCGATTTAAATAGATCAACAAGAGAATCCATTACTGTGGGCATTAATTCGCAAATAACTAATGAGAGTAAAACTGAAGATCAGGAGCCAGCTGAAATAATTAGTAAGCAAATTGATGCTACTTCATTACTGTACAGTGACTTAGCTACAACAGTCAACGAGTCGTCTCTCAATATATCTTCATCACGAGAAATTGATAAAGCTCAAACAAATGCCGAAACAGCACGGACGGCTGTCTTATCCGAGATGGAAAATATACCGTCAACGGCTCTGGCATCTGAAGAAGGCGTTCCAACACCACCACCATCACCAACAACAAGAAAAACTACGGTTAGACCAAGGTCAGATTTTTTTTGAGACATGGAAAATTGTTTTTTTGTTGTGGTGCAATGTAGACATTTTTTTTTTGATAAAACGACAAAGTCATTCTTCATCAAACTGTTGTTGACGCCATTAATGTAACATGAGTATTAGGTAAGAATCAAGAAATTCTATCATGGTTTTATCCTCTTACAATATTTCGAAATTTTCAGTTTGTTTTCATTAGCTCAAGTTTCACATAAACTTGGTGAGCTCTGGTCTAGCGCACGAGAACGCGTTTTTGGTGAAGATTATTGGATACCCTCCGACTGTTATGAGGTATTTATTTCTTACACCTTATATATGACATTTTTATCGTTAAATAGTCATCATGAAGTGTAAATATTGGTTTCATCAGAGAAAGATCGTGTATTTCACTGATTCTATTGTGCAGGTAGTGCTATTTCCGGTGGAATTATTACGAGCTCATAATTCCATCTATCCTGACAGTAATAGCAAGAAAGGATTACGCGTTGTGCAAGGCACACTGAAAAATCGACCTGCAGCACCACTATTCCATGTGCTATTTTCAAAAGAAAATGAAGAAAAAAATGATAACAGAGAAGGAGAAATTGAATTGCTTGTTACAGTAAGCATATTCCGAACCCATGAAATCCAAGAGGCTATCGATTTATGTAATCGATGCTATGATTGTGAAGCACTATTTATGCTGCTTGGTAAGTATATTTTACTCTCAGTCAAGCTTTTAATTCAAAAACGTTTGTTTATCACTAATTTTGTTTGTTTGTTTAGTAAGCTTATTAACTTCCTTGCAGACATGCAAAGCGATAATCGTAGGCTAGTACGAGATTTGGTAACTGCTCTCCGTGCTCATCCGCTCTGGCTAATTGTTCCAATTGCAATCGCGACAAATCGGGCCGATTTTTTTACAGATGAAAGCATTAAAAGGTTTCAGGCTACAAACGAGGATTTATTTGATGTGTAAGTCACTTCAAGATAATATACAAAAGATCTGGTCAACGATTCCTCTTTTTTGAAATCACTTTCTACATATTTTATAACATAATTCTGAAGCCACAACTTTTTAGAATGCTTCAAGTAACTGCTCAGCCAGAAGGTCGCTACCCGTTGATGCTTGCGATTGAGATGCATCGCTTAGAAATCGTTCGAAGACTTCTAGAACTTGGTGCCGATCCGGCAGCACGAGATATTAAGGGGAATAATTCATTACATTATGCAGCCTTAGCTTCGGTAACTATGTTAGAACTGCTTTGGGAATTTGATAAGACACATTCTCTTTTGAATACAACCAATCACGATGGATATACTCCGGTTTTGATTGCAATCCGCAATGCGAATCCACGGATTGTATCAACATTAATCTCACATGGTGCTGAAGTCAATATTCGTGTTGCTGGGCGATCTCCACTTTTTGAAGCGATGCAGAGTAAAGGGAAATCAGCTGAAGTAATTCGGACATTACTAGAAGCTTCTCCAAAATTGTTACATGAAAAAGATCCAGCCACGGGAAATACAGTATTACATGCAGCACAATTTAAAACACCTTTGATGGGATTATTATCCCTTAAACACAAGGAACTTGATCTGAATGCTCGAAATAATGCTGGACAGGCACCAATTCATATGTATGTCAGTAGAGGTGATGTTGGTTAGTAGTTTTCATGATCGGCTCTTCTTTTTTGTCAGTTTATTCTCTTACTCCATAGATAATCTTTTTCTCAGTAAGTGCTTCTATATTTTTTACTGTTTGAAATTTGTTAATTAAAAATAATTTCTAGGTATGGTTATGACTTTGTCATCCTATAATTGCGACTTGAATGTGTCAGATCAAAGTGGTGATACCGCCCTTCATTTATCTGTTTCAAGAAGGGATTTATTAATGACTCGATTACTTCTCTGCTTAGGTGCTGATCCAAACGTGAAGAATAAACATGGTGAGACACCAAGACATCTTGCTTCTAAGCTTCAGGAGTAAGTTTCGAGTTTTGATTATTATAAAATTTTAGGATTGAAGTGTCTATAAATTTGATCACAAAAATGTTGCTTTCAGATGGGATTTAGTAAAAAGTCTTGCAATTTGTGGTGCACGTCGTTGTGAAAGTGGAGGAAAAAGTGGATGTGTTTCTGGATGTGTGAACGGCAAGAAACTAGATGAAATGAAAGATGCTTCATGGTCATTGATAGAAAGTGCTGAAAGTTATATAATTCCTCGAACTGGTA